CGACCTGTGTGCATCTAACCTGCTTTGTTATTGGCTAGGCATGCTGGCCTATCTAGTCCTGTGACCTATGTGCCACTAACCTACTTTGTTATTGGCTAGGCATCCTGGCCTATCTAGTCCTGTGATCAATGTGCCACTAACCTATTTTGTTACGGGTTAGGCGTGCTGGCCGTTTAGGGCCCCTAGTATTTGACATTGTTTTTAATGTTTTCAAGTTTTTTTCTTTTATTTTAATTAAATTTCATTGAAATTAATAAATTAAATTATTCTAAATTATTAACTTCCCAATTCTACGATTATTAGTGCCACGAGAAACTCTAAAATACTTAATGAATAATTATCAATATTTATTTGATGAATTTATTTTAAATATGGACAAATAACAAGATAAAAGAATAAGGTATATTCGAACCTTTTCAGAAGGATAAGAATACATCCTTGACATAATTCCCGTGTCGGTATTTGGGCTTCCCATGCCAGGTGAGGTTGTGCTTACCTGATTTCTAAAGTAGTTGAGACTGTAACAAGGCCTCTTGTGCATCTACGTATCAGGTGCTGGGATCATGTTGGTAATCTTGTGTTAGCAGAGCTCAGCTTTCAAACTATGCTACTTCTTGACAGACTCTACGATGGCTCCTCTAAGCATTGTCATGACATCTGTATGGCCACAGCTACTGCAGTTTTTGTTACACCATTATTATCACTTTTGCTCATGGTATACAGCATTACGCAGATTGTAGTTGCTCCGATTGCTGCAGGCTTACTTGTAAACAGGTGATATGCTCAATCCAAACAAGTGTCCTTTTTTAAGATTAACTTCCTTGAGATGTCATTGTGTCTTATTTACTTGTGCCTGCAGGTTGTTTCCACATTTGTCTAGTGCTATTCATCCATTTTTTCCGCCACTATCAGTACCGGTAACAGCTTGTTGTATTGGAGCACCACCTGCTGTTAATGTTGACCCCGTTATGTCAAGTTTTGGGATAACCTCATTGCTGCATTCATCTATCAGCATTTGTTGCTGGTTATTTTTTTACTGGTCTTGTCTTCCCTGAGGCATCTAACTTAAAAGCATTGCAGAGAACTATGTCATATGAGACACTTACCACCTTCCTTTTCAACGATGTCATTTTTCATGGATTATACTCCTCTGGTTGACAATATTTTCCTTTGCAGGAATGCAGAGCAGTCTTCTAGCTCTCGCTCTTGCTAACATGTTTTTCAAAGATCCACTTGTTGCTATGCATCCAGCCATATTTGTAAGTTAAAACTTCACATTTGCTTTTAGTTGACGATTATCTTTGACAAAGATCTGGTGCAAATTGTGGTTGCTACTTTCAGCAACTAAACAATAATTTCTGTTAGAAGCAACATTATGTGTAGTGATCCTCCATATGGTTCTCTCTGAGGTTTGATAGTAATCAGTTCATTCCACAATCTGGCCACACTTTCTTTTTATCAATGGAGGCAGCTGTGACGGGAAACTAAACAGGGGAAAGCTATCTTGTTGGTTCAGTTTTTTCCTTTTTTATCACTGATTAATCCTTAACACTTGGTTCTTATGTATATACATCACAAAGGAGAGTGACATTTTTATAAAATTGCGTTGCACGTGATAGAAGCCTCGGCCACAGAGGCATTCTTTTTCTTATTTTTGGATTCAATGCATTGATTTGCAAATGGTTTATGTTACCCTTTATTTTCTAGGTTTGCCCACACCATTCATTTCGCTGGCTTTTTTAGCTTTAAATTTCTTAAAAGCTAAGATGATTAGAATTGCAATTGATGTTGTGTCGAATGCTTTTACATAAAAAGATCCACGCATATGATTTAGATTTGGGCTGTTCTTTCATCATATTATCTCTGGCATTCATATTCATACAGAATTCTGAGAAATATCAGCTCATTGTGTGACTGCAGACGGTAATCATGTCCTTGGTGGGATTTTCTCTTGTCATGCTTTGGTCCTAGAAGAAAGAAGAGCACTTGCATGGAAAATTGCTTTTGCAAACCACAAGTTTGTCCTATGCTGTCTGTAATCATACCTTAGGCGGTTTCGTTCTCTCACCATCTTTGATCCAAGAATAAAGGAAAGCAATGTGATGAGATATTGCCTCTGCAAGTCGATGAAATCCATTGTTTGAGGATACATTTGCATTTAATACTTCTGAAATTGTCAAAACTCAAAAGCTATTGGTTTCTTGAAGGTGGTATCACTGGGAGGCAACACCCGGTAAGAACAAAACAGGTTCCTTTTTTCTGGTGTTATGGTCCACATCTCCGATAAGAATTCACTGAGCTCTTCGGCAGTTCTGTCGTCGTCAAGTTGTATTATGCGGACACATGAAAATATCTACTTGACTGTTTTGTCCTATTATCCATCATCAGCAACAAGTTTGAGAAATATTATTTATCGATGGCTTCGCATGGGTTCCATACTTCCATGATGTGTGATCCCAGCCTCCATGCTATTCAAGATACTAGTTTAAATAACTTTGTAGTGATATAATTTAATTGGTTAAATTTTAGATTTAATTTTTAGAATTTAATAATTTAAGTTTTATAAATTTTAAAATTATTAAAAATTTATATAGTAGTTAATTTGAAGATATATATAAAATTAATTGAGTTATGTATAAGCTAACTTAAATATTTATATAAATATTTTAAAAAAAATTAAATGAAAAAAAGATAAAGTGCTAATATTATCACTCTTATAATGTTTTAGATAATTTATGGTTTAAGTGTTTTTTGGGTTGGTTAAAAATGAAATTGATTTTTTTATCACGAAGATGAAGATTTTTTGATGGTTTTGATTTCCTTGAAAACTAAACATAATTTAATATTTTTATGTATAAAAAAATGAAATTGAGAAAATAAAAATAATAAGAAAATAATCATAATCATTTGTCTTACTATCTTAATTTTTAAAAATATTTTTTAAAAAATTTAAATTTATTTATTTATTTTAAATTAATATTTTTTATATTTTTAAATTATTTTAATATACTAATATCAAAATAAATTTTTAAAAATAAAAAATTATTTTAATATATTTTTAAATAAAAAACACAACTACAATATTACTAAATACGGTCAAGATATATCTTCCATTACTACGGTGCATAAATAACTTCTCTCGAAATAATCGCAACAGAAGAATCTCAAACTACCCGCCACCAAAAAAATAACACTATGGCAACCACAACAACAAAAACCTTATCATTGCTCTCTCCGGAACCTGTTTTCCCTCGTAAATCCAAACACACCATTTTCTTTTCTGTCTCTCCTCCACTTGCCCCTACACTTGCCACTCTCCAAACCCAACCCGTGACCCAAAAACTAGCCAGGTTTGGTGTTGTGGGTCTTCTTGGGGCAGGTGTGGCCCTGACAGCATTGGAACCAGCATCAGCTGCTGAGTTACCCTTGCTGGGTCAACTCAGTGAACCCGCCAATGCACTGTCTTTGCCCACCTGGGCTATACACGTTTCTAGTGTAGCTGAGTGGTGAGTTTTCAAATTACTCTTACTTCTTGTGGTTCTGGTGCTGGGTTTTAATGTATGGTATTGTTGCTTTGGCTTTTGGATTTTCCTGGCAATATTCTTTTTGTTAATTTTTTAGTTGATTAGATTGGATTATCATTCTCCGGAAACCGAATAATTTAGCTAACTACTGGATGCACTAACCTTATTTTGTTTGATTTATATTTGATTGCTGATTAAAACGAGGAAAAGAAAACTAAAGTTTAGTGCTTTCTTGAAAACAATGTAAAACACTGCAGTTAATTGTACTTTGTTTTGATGGTTTTGTGCCCATAGTAGAGATGTTGACAGCGAACTTTCTTATCAACAGGATCGCAGCTATGGCATTGGTTTGGCAGTATGGGGAGAAATCGGGGCTTGAATCGTGGAAGGGGCTTGCTTGGGGTATGGTGAGTTATAGCTTTAAAGCATTGCAAATTTGATGTTGCTATTCTGGTATCTGGATGTTGGTGTGTTTTAAAATTGGTGAAGCGATGAAGGCTGTCTTGAATTGCTTTGCTATACCCTTTTGGTTTAAAGATTGGGGTATGTGTGTGTGTGTGGGGGGGGGGGGGTCGCTTTTGAAGGCACAAATTTACCGATTAGAACACAAACATCATGCAAGTCTGTTATCACTTCTGCAACTTGGTCCCTTGCCTGAAACCCACAATGTCTCCTTGAGGCAATTTGGAACTGCCTTCATGATTGTTATTTAGTTTATTATATTGGATTGAGATTTTTTTTTTGATCAACCATAAGGTTCTTTTGATTACAATGGGGTGTTCAAATGACCCTTAAAGTTGTCCTTTTGGTAAAACTTTTAAATATGCTGATCCATTTTTTCTTCTTTCTTCGATGACAATTCTTAATTGATAACTTTGTTATTTATGGATTGTTTTTGTTTCCAAATTGCTTGCTAAATCAGTATCTCGTCCCCAGTGATCTTTATTCTGTTACTTTAGTATACCGAGTCCCTATTGACTTTTTTTTCTAAGTCTTGAAACAGGCAATAGCATGGAAATATTGAGCATGCGAATAAATATTTCCTGCCTTGTGAGTATGTTCAAGATTTTATGGTGAAAAACTTTTATTGTATAGGTTGTTGCTCAGGCATAACTTTTATTTTGAGACCTGAATTTATTGTAGCCAATTCTGATTTTGTTTGTTAATTTTCCATTGGTTACAGTTACATATGTTGTAAGAATTTTGCATTTAATTTATTTGGGAAATCGTTACCTTAGAGTAGCCTGAACTGTGAGGGGAAACGGTTACAAATATGATAGGAAATGTCTTTGAGATTTGTTTTATTGTCTTCAGTTGTTGTGTGTGTACTATTCGAGTCAAATCTATACATTTTTTATTTCTTAATTTCTTAATCTAACTATAGTCAACTGATTTTTAGGTTCCTTTACTTGGTGGAGCATTTTGTGCATGCACATGGCATTTCTTCTACAATTCTGAGTCCCTTGAGGTAAGAATGGTTGCATTGCTTCATGGCTAAAGGAATTTGTCTGTTTGCACAGGTGCAGATTAGAGATAAATAGATCAATTGAAATACAGGAAACAACCTTAAATGAACCAATCAAATGGGAGTTTAGATTCTGATGCATGGCATGATAATATCGAATACAATGCTTAGCTACAAATGGATATTACTGCTCTGGTTTATACATTTGCATAGCATCGTTGACTTTTTGTCCTTACTTCTATTCCGAGTCTCTTGAGGTAACAATAGTTGCTAATCAAGATACCGGAAAGATCTTAAATGAACTGATCAAATGGGGCTTTAGGTTAACCTACGGGAAGCATAGATGGAAATGAATATGACATTTAGCTTGAATAGATATCTCTAGTCCTTTATACATGTCCATTACAAAATACAGTATCTATTTCACTCCTTTTTTCTTGAGAGAGAGAATCGTCTCTATTTCACCTTCACCTTCCACTGCTCATCATTCATCGAAAATCAAATGCCATACAGCTCCTAATGTCACATGTATCCATCAGCATACCATTCTACTCTTATCTGTGAAAGAACTACTGGGATATTTCACTCTGAACAGCCCAATTATCTGTGTGGTATCAAATAGGGGTTGTGCTAACCGAGGGAAAGATTAGGCTGCAGTTTGAAGAGATTTAAATACATAAGAATCTAGAAAAAAACCCCAAGAAATCTAGCTGAATTTTATAAATCAAGCAGAAGGCAGTTATTGTCAAAGTTATAATACTTGTAGAACTGGATCCTGGTTTGAACATCAAAATTATTCTGATAATTATTTTTGCCCAAAATCCTGGATTTAGCCAGTGTTTCAGTTGTGGGGGCCACTGTTTTTTGTGATTGACCAATCTGACCTCTTGATTTTGCCCTTTGAATACTCTTGTTGACCAACTTAAACCAAACTTACTTTAAATTGGCTCAAGTTCAGTCAATGCTGGTTGCATCAGAGATTGCCACCCTTTCTGTCACCACAATATGCTGCATGGTATTGAACTAGATTTTTACTGTTTTCAGAGCATCTCCCTGGCCCATTCCATCATATTTTTATGATCATTTAAGTATTTCCCTCAATATAGAGCATGATTATTTACATGCATCCACCTTATTGTAATACAATTAGCAGTTCTTTTTTCTTTCTCTCGGATAGATATAGAATATGAAAAATAACTATAGTCTGTTTCTGAGGTGTAGGTATTGGTAGCTCTTCAAGCCGCACTGACAGTGATAGGTAATGCCACAATGTGTATTGCTGCTTTCCGTATACACATGTCATCAGAGGAACGCCCCAAAAATCTTTGACGGTTTCAGAGCCTGTATGCAATTATGTCTTCTGGAAAGTAAAATCTCTGTTTTTCAGTTGTTTGGTCTAATTTTAGGGGGAAGGAATTGTTAAGACAGTTAACCATACCCTTGTTACCTCTTCAGAGTTGTTATTACCAGCAGCTATTATATGTAAGTTTTTCTTCTCTTTTCCTTTTCCCCTCAAAAAGCACACTCCAATATATTTTTAACCCTTATTTTCTCTCCTTTCACCCACAATTTACCTTCAGTTTATTGGCACACACAGCATCCCCAGGTAAGTAATAATTCACCCACTTCTTTGAACTTCAAAATAAACGCACTCTTAAATGATAAGAGTGGAGTCAAACTTTACACTCTTGTTATCTCATGCTTTAAAATAGGTGAATGCACTATGTTTAATATTCGTCCGTTTGCTTTCAAAACACTGAAGCAAAAATTATCACAGAAACAAAGAACAGCCTAAGCAAAAAGTAAGCATTGAATGCAGAGTGCTGGAGCCTGGAAACCTTAAGAGCTCCTTTCACTCATAGTTGTATGCAAGATGTGGTTGAAGACTTGGAATGCTCTTTTCTTACTATGCTTTCTTGGTTAAGGTGAAAAAAAGATTATAATGACAGATTAACAATGGAAAAGGTTAGTATTATTTATGTGTAGACTCCAGGGACTGGATCAGATTTTTAATTATAGTTATACTACAGCTAGGGCTAGATGGGTTAAGGTGGTAAAGATTGTTTGCACGACAAAATAGGTCTTAAAGCCTCCTTTATGCGTTCGAAGAACACTTGTCTTGTCACTCTTTCACTGTATCATTGCAGCTATTCAAGATGATAAGCTTAAGTATCTGATTAGTTGCTGGGTTTAAAAAGTCTTTCCCAGTTTCATTTTCAGGCTTAAAAAATAAGCAAATACTAGAATCATTGAAATTTAGGTGATGCGTCAACTTCCAAAGTAAAAGGAAAAATAAAAAAACAGAGAGAATCATTGATATTTTATTTTATAAGTTGGCAAACATACGAAGCTTCCATCATTAATATAACATATACCACCAGGCAAAATTCATTACATCTTGTGACTAACATGCTTGATTCAGCAAAGAAAAGATGAAAACAAAAGGAAGGCTACCGAGAGATAGAGATAAAAACAGAGGTGTTAGTCTGTACTATGTTACATTTTGCTAGTGTTGTGTACAAGAAGTAGGGTGGTGGATAAGCGATCCAAATGAGAGAATTTCTTTTGAAATTCAGACATTAAGGCCAAGTTTTCTTGGCGGAGAAGATTAGCTTTCTTCCTCAGCTTCTTGTTCTCTTCAACGATTCTTTGGTTCTCTAAACACAACTTCAAGTTCTTTAGCTGTATGTCCTTCCCCTCCATTTCTTCATATCCTGACCTCCTGCTTTACACAAGGAGAGAGAACAAGGAAAATTCCTCACGTCAAACATGTATTTTTTGTAAGAACTATACAGCAAATGAAACATCAAAACACTTGGGACAGTAAAGGTTGCGTTACAAGCACATGCTAAGTTTTTGCTCGGCAAGACATACCTGCAGGTGAGCCCAATAACTTGAACCTTACATTTCTTTGATCTTTGCCTTCTTTTTGAAGGGTGGAAAGGAAATGGGAACCTCTCTACTCCGTTAGTGCACATTATATTTATTGCTATTGGAAAGATGAGAGAAAGCGAATTGAGAAAAGAGGGTGGGATGTAAGTTCCTATATATACAGGTGGTTTTGTGTCGTGACAGTGTGCATGATTATCTAGGGCATATGGTGGGTATGCATTTGATAGAGAGATAGATTTATCTTCTATAGCAATGATGTCATATTGGATTCATGATTGCAAAGGGAAGCTACCCCTTGTATCGATGATGGATGAGGAAAGTAACAAAGAAAAGCCTAGGATCACGGAAGCTTCTCTTTGATCATCTCCTGCACACTTGGCCTTAAGGAGTAACAAAATTTAAAATTAATAGAACCAATCGAGCATGAGTTCTATTCATGTTAAAGCTATTGATTTGAAAAGATCAGCTTCGTTAGGAAAAGCTAACTATAGTTTATGTTTGAAATTTATAATGGTCCTTCTGAGATGGCACTTCGTAGTTGCACGTCAGCAAGCATCCATGGATGATTAGGCTGATTACAAGTGGCTTCTTGGCATCACCTTGTCTTATGGCCCCATTCCAAGCCTAATGCAATGTAGAGATTGTAAAAGCTCACCTCTCTCTCTCTCGACTTTTGGGGTTGTGGACCATTACAGGGAGAAGTTGGCATCTTCATTTCCACCCTTCCCTTGCTCCACTTTTGTATGTTTCATTATACTTGGTTTGAACACAAATGTAAGAGTCAGACTTGACATTGAGGGCCTGAAAACCCCACCATTTCCTTGGTACTAGTATTCTCTGCGTCTGGGACAAATGATGCATGGCCCAAAAAAAGAAATGAAAATAATGGGGAATAAGTTCATGATAACTCACTGTGCATATGGAGGGACACACTAGATCATTTACCTCTTGTGTATCGATTCAATTATTTTTAAAATTTTTAAAAAATTTAAACTAAGTAGAAATTAAATTAATATCATCGGCTTGACTTGATAAATTTAAAAACAAGAATAATAAAAAATTACATGATTTGACTAAAAAAAATTGTAAGATGATATATATTTTTTTAATATTAAGATAAGAATACGTTGATTCATCAACGCAAGTTAGTTTAAGTTAACATGTAAAATCTGTAATCCGAGCTATAAGATAGTGATAACTTTATAAAAAAATAAAAAAACATTTTGAAGTCTAATTTTTAATTAACTCAATATTGAATGATAAAATTTAAAAAAAACGTGATAACTTTATAAAAAAATTAAAAAACATTTTGAAGTCTAATTTTTAATCAACTCAATATTGAATGATAAAATTTCAAAAAAATCAATTAAAAAATAATCTAGATTAAATTGTCAAACTTAAGTTATGAGACTGGAATAATTCAATTGAAAATCTGGATTAAATTGTCAAACTTAATTTATGAGACTGGAATAATTCAATTGAAAAAAAATTAAAACAAATTATAAAACTCAATTTTCAATCAATTCAATGTTAAAAAAGAATACAAAACAAAGTTCGAATTAGCCCAAATTAATTTGTCAAACCCGTAATTCAGGTTATGAAATTAGAATAACCTTATAGAGAATAAAATAAAATAAATCTAAAACTTATCCCGGTTAATTCAATATTAAAGGATAAAACTAAAAAGAAAAAAAAATTAAAAAAAAACATAAATTATATTTACACATGTATCGAACATTAAGCTCTTTTATAATAGGATCTCAAGTAGATCATGATCATATCCATAATTATTATGCGCTTGATGATGATGAACCAATGGAATGAATTTTTAGCTGTCTTTATTAAAAAAAAAAAGGGGAGGAGGGAGTCTCAAGTGATACTAGAGGTCAGGCCGCTGTTTTTCTTGCACTACCCTTTCTGCTAGTGATATTTCACATACATGTATTCCAACTACCTTCACTTCTTTCTTTGACCCTCTCCACTACTTAATAATGGTTGCAATGATATTAAATTGTTAATGCAGGTAGATAATTAGCCTGACATGTGCAATTGCACCAACTATATATAGAAGAAGAAGAAGAAGACCTCCTAATCAGTGGATCTTGCATGCACACACACTAATATATTATGGTGAAAAATCCCTTGATAATAATTGCTTGGTTAATTTGGTTTAACACGCATAATTCTCATGCTATAATTGTTTCAGCTAGAGAACTAAATTAATTATAGCAGATTCTTCATTTATCAAGTGATTTTTAGGAGTGCTACCCTTCTGAGATCGGCCACGGAACGTTCTCGGTAAGGTAACGAAGTTATGTCTTGCTTAAAATGAAAGCCAATCTTTGAGGAGCTCAAGTCGAAGGACCAATTGGACATGCCAGAGAAATTATGCTACCTATGCCTTTGGTCCGAAAATATATATGAATGTTGACCGTACACGCCTGTAATGCTTGATAGCGTAGGCAAATTCTAACCCTAATCATGTCATTTTTTGAATGGAGAGAAGGGAGAAGCCATTAATCGAAGAGAGCATGACTAGAACCACACTCACAGGACTCTTCACTTATTTCTTCTTTTACTACCTCTACTACTCAAAACACAGACATGAGAGTAGAGCAATAGTCAACGATGAAATAAATGGAATTCATCTTCTTCTCCTGCCTCTTCAAGTGCCGTAAAAACTTGTAAACATGCACACCATCCTTGACGTTAGGTCTCGCATGCATCAATTATGATGGCTCCACAATTTCCCATTTAAATGTCCAATCCATCTACTATATCTCCTCCTATATGTGCACTGCAATTGATTGCTATATTGGTGTGTGCATTTGTCATCAACCTCATCGCCACCCATATCTATATATCGTGCACAGGGTATCATGGCAATTTGATAATTGAAATCATGAGTGTTTTCTTTTCAACTTGTACATTATGATATGTATACTTATGGATATTACTTAATGTATGTTACCCCTTGTAAATCTATGAATGGTAGCTAGGAAACCACCATAAAATTATGATTCCAAGAGGATAACGTTCAATATAGTGTAAGATGCAGTATTTGGAAGCCAGGGAAATGATTTAAAGTGTTTTGTTTTTTTCCTTTTATGATGAAAATTAGAACAGGTTAGGAGATTAGAACAAGCATATGGCTGCCAAAAATGAAAAGACCATGGCAGGTTAATTACTCCACGAAAACTGGGAGTTGGGGTCATGATCATAATGGCCTTGCTTATTTGACCTTTATTGGCCTCCTGCTCAAGAGTCAGTAGCTATAGAGTTGGCAGAAATTGATAGATATTAGATGGTGGCGGTGGAAAGTTAAGTAGCTGGGCATAAATATTGTGGCTCGAAACACAAGTAACATTTGCAATTATATTTGCAGATGTCTTCATTTGCATTTTTCATATTCAATATGAGAGGTATTTAATTTGGAAAAAATATATATGTGTGGCTCCGTGCTATTAGCAGCAGAAGGTCTTTATAGTTCAGAAACTTAAAAGCATTCTGGCACACTCAACTTGAGATCCAAGAAGAGGGATGGATACTTTTTTCCTTGAGCAATATTCAACTCGGCGCCACTTTCTAGTCTCTCGCCATCTGCTCATCTCTCTTCTTTGAAACTCTATAGGCCCAGCTTAAATTAGCTGTCCCTGCTTGAATTCATCCAGCCCATTAGACCGAAGGTTGGATAAGGTGGGGTCGGTAATGGTAGCCCTGTTTCATCTTCTTCTTCTTGTTTCTTTCACTAGGCGAGCTATATTGTTGTTGTTTTTTCAATTAATAATGAGGTGTATCATTGGACCAGTTTATCCATCAATTAAAATTAAAATTAGATCTTTTTAATAATAATATTGACTCAAACCCATTACATTACTAGCCTTCAATATTGCACGTGATAGGTTTTGTCTTGTGAAGATATCTTTTGATGAGATAGATGGTATCTAAAATTTATAAATAGCTTAGATCCTCAAATCGTAACCCAAATATTGATATTACCATAGTTTCCTTGGTTAAGGAGATTTCGAATTGAGAGCACATAACCAATGTCCCCACATAAGATGTTAATGATGATATTTGTCCCAAATCTACATCATGGCTAATCTCTTAAAAAATATTGTTTTTAAATTTAAACTCAATATCATTACAAGTTTTTTTTTTTTTTTTAGAAAACACCCCTTAAAAAAAGAGGTTTACCTAAAACTTATAACATGCCTAGGCCATTGACTCCTAGCCAATATAAAATATTGATAATATCATAACTCTTTAGTTAAGATGTTTAATAGCTAAGAATATGTTTTTTTAATTTTTATATTCAGTGTTAATAATAAGATTATCCAAATTTACTATATAACTAGTTCCTCAAAAGATATTTTGTAGTAGCCATTAAAATATCATGATAAGTTTTTTTTTTTAAAAAAAAACACCCCTTAAAAAAAAAGATTTACCTAAAACTTATAACATACCTAGGCCATTGACTCCTAGCCAATATAAAATACTGATAATATCATAGCTCTTTAGTTGAGATCTTTAAGAGCTAAGAATACATATTTTTAATTTTTATATCCAGCATTAATAATAAGATTATCCAAATTCACTATATAACCAGTTCCTCAAAAGATATTTTGTAGTAGCCTAGTTTAATTTTTTATATACTCTTTGCTTTAGACTTTATCTTTTTCATAGTTTTTTTATAATAACATGAGCTCACTTCTAAACCTGATATCTTAAAATATATACAACAAATCAACGACCAATATTACTTATATATATAGCTCTAGTTTTCATGTTTGAGCTTATAACTTTATAATGGATTTTATCATAAAAAGATATATTTTAAAATTTTTCATACATCTTAAAAGAGAGGTAATACTTGGAATCTATAAGTTGCCTTCACCATTTATTTTTAATTTGATTTGAGATATTAATATCATCAAAGCTTTCCTACTTAAGGGATCTAATATATGGTTTATATCTTAAAAGATATTATTTTATGTTTGGGTTTATAACTTGCATTGAATTTTATTATGAAAAGGCATCTTTTATAACAAAATAAGATTTAAAATTTATAAATTATCTAAACTCTCAACTCCTAACTGATATGGAATATTGATATCATTTGTTGTCAAAAATAAATATTTTTTTGTCACAATACCTTTTTTTGAAAAAAATAGTAAGCTATATTAAAAAATATAAATGTGCATAAATATATAATAATTTACCCATTTTGATATTTATTTATTTTTATTCAAGCATGGCTCCAAGGAGAATATGATCATTAGATCCACTTGATCTCAAAAGGAAAAAACAACTTCATTTTTAAAAATCAAATTCCCTATTATAAAAAATAAATAAATCAAATTCCCTATACACTCTCATCCTTAATGATATTTTCACATGCCTTTTCACAAAAAAAAAAAAAAAATGATTCATTTAGTATTATCCATGATGCCAATTAACAAAACATTAAAGAAGTTGGGTTTTTTCTTGATCATTATATTGCATACATAATAGTATTAGCACTATGGATTCATTCAGTGCCATTTTTTTTCCCTTTCAGCTATATGTTTTTAAAAATAAATTATTATTTTTATTGAATTGATTCAATATTTAACTTAATAATTTATTTTGTTAAACTTGATCTTGGGTTCTCAAGGTATATATATAAAAAAAACTTCCGATATTTGGTAAACACTTAATTTTGCAGAAATATGTTTGAAATTTTCATTTTTCTAAAAAACTAAAAATGATAAGACTAGAAATGAAATTTTTTTAAAAAAATGATATCTCTTTTGGAATTTTTTCCCCTTAAGGGAAATGATAAAGAAATCAGGTGTGGAAATCAACAAGAGGAGATAAGAAAATAAAAAAATAAAAAATAAGTAACTAGAGCTACAACATCAACATGCTGGCTATATAATTAAACCCTTACCCAAATGATTCCAATGGT